ATATTAATGATGATCAAATATTGACTTATTGGATTAGAGCTAGAAGGAGGACTATGAGCCCTTGGCTATCTTACGAGGGAGCACTGATAAGAATATTTAGTCCACATTGATTGGTGAGTAGGACAACAAATGACTTATAAGTTCGTCCGATTATCCTAACCCACAAAGTTGGAGTTTGTGAGTCATAAGAGGATAAAAATCATACGGGTATATTCAAAGCGGATAATTTCTCATAAGATCACATCAATGTCGATTAACTATTGACTTATCACATATGAATAAAAGTGGATTATCAAATTTTATTATCGAACATTGAAAAACTTATAAACATGACATAATTCGTATATCATTTCAGAGGTAAATCATCTTTGAACCATAATATTTAAGAAAAAGAAAATCGAATCAACTCGATTGCATTGAATTGACAAATAAAATTTATTATAACATAATTATAACATCAATACAAAAATGATAGCAACAACTAAAATGTACTAGATTAACAAAATCAATAAATTCTATAAATGGCTCCACTTAAATATCCCCTACAAGTTTATGCCTAAATGACTTGCTAACGTTTTTAAGAATATATTTTTCTGTATGTCAAAAAATTCGCAGCGTATAAGAATCCGAGTTTAACTAAAAGGTATTTCAATACATGTATCGTACAACAACAACTCGGAAACTCGGATGCATGAACGAGTCCACTCAGGATCGCCACGAAACTCGGGTTGCAACGCGAGTTACTGGGTTCACCCGTCCGATTCAACTCGGTAGCCACAAGGCTTCATCCTCGTCGAATCGGTTTGTCCTCCCATTGCCCTCCTATTTGGCGTCACCGACTTACCTCGGTCCCGATCGATATTAGGGTTGATTCCGTCCGGGAGACAGGCGACGAGATGTCCGCCTCTGATCGCCGCCGCGAGAGCAGGTCCGGAGGTGGAGGACGCGATCGGATCGCCTTCGAGGAGAGAGAATCCCATCGCGAGGTCGAGTCTCCCTTTATCTTCCCCTCGGTCGATTGTTTTCTCGGATCGGTTCGATGTTTTTCCGAATCTTGAAAGGAAGTCTCCTTATTTTTCTCACGCTGACGAACTGGTCCAGCAAGATGCTGAGAAAACACCAATTGGTTGTTTAGTCGAATAGGTTATATAGAATCTGCATTCCCAAACGCCAGAAATTTGGCTTTTAGAATACAACATCGGTTTCTTGGTAATCTTTCATAAACAGACATATATGTGGAAAATATCCAATTTGATTATAAGTTAATCTGCCACGGATTCTCCACATGAACCTGATGGACTTGAAACCAACTCCTTTATCCTACTGCACATTTTGGTAATATATACAGGCCAAGGTTGGTACCTGTAAATACTTGTAGAACTTATGCAATTAGCTTAAAGGAGCAACAATAACATAAAAATATTGGATAATTGTTCGTAAACTATTTAGTCTTTCATCTTTCTGCTGTTTTTTCTAACTCGAATAATGGAATTCATTTTTTTGTACATTCCACTGAACTATAAAATGAACATTTATCGTGGATTAATATGATGAAGCATGATTATAGATCTGGTCAGATATGGATATATGGGGTGTTTACTCATCATGGCATAAGCCCAGTTTGGACCAGACGTGTTCCATTGACATCTTTGGGTTCAACGGTGGAATATTTTTGTTTTAAGAATTAACCTTTTCTTCGTTTAAGTTATCAAAATAAATGTGAGACTAGGTTGCATGCATTTAGCCTCTTATTCATCCATGTATGCAATGTGTCGAAGTCCACCAAAAAACTCGTCTCATTTTCTCTCGTACAGTTGGTGACTCCACTTAAATTTGCACTGTGATTTGTAAATCTAGCTACTCACTCAACATATTAATTCAGCTGATAAAGCATAGGTTAGGAGATAGGGTTTGGGCGATCAGGATCATGATCTGCATTCGAATTTGGTTGAATTTGGAGGCATATTGCATAATTTGTTTTGTTAATATATTTTTTTCTTTTGTCTTTTGTTTTTTTTTGAGGGCTGGGGGGTTGCAAAACAGTGCAAACCTTAATTTTTCTTCAGATCTGGTTCCGCTCTGATAGTTGGTAATTTGAGAGAAAACCAATATATATTTTTCTTCTGATCTTCTATTGAGAAAGTTGAAAATAAGGATGTCGAGTTTTAACAAGAAAGAAGATTATGAAGAAACAGCAACAATGTACCCAAAGTGTAAACCTGATACCTAGTATATCAAATAGATAGTCTATATATTGGATGTGGATCAATCGCATTGTGCATACACTATTGGAATATGTAACATGTAGTTTATATTTAGCTATATATTCTATTAGTTTTACTAAGCTTACTAGAGTTCGTTCATGATCTTATTGTTGTTTTTCAGGATATTTTCTTTTCTTTCATGTTCTGCTAGTATTTTTATTGCTTATTTTTTCTATTTATATGAATAATTGTCCGAGTGTTCTCAGTGTAATAACATAATGTTATTTACTATTTAGTGTAAATATTCAAGCACTGTAAATATTAAGCTAAACCCTACCAAAAAATAACCTATACTCATGTACCATAAAGGTTGTTGTCCTTTTGTAGAAATTTTCAGTTGCACATTTATATGTACAAATCATGTAATAACATAATGATATTCATTTCTGTCCATGTCATAGTTCAGTGCAGTATTCCTATTTGCAGTGTAGAAAAGACAGCCTCAGAATCTTGGATTCATTCGAGTGTCAAGACCTTGCTTGCTCTGGCATGGGAACTTGGCATTTACTGCTCCAAGATGAACCACTTTTTCCAAATTATGTTTCCAATTTCCAAAATGTTTTTGTTGAGCTAAAAACTTTTTAGTGAGCTCAACCATCATGTAACAACTTCATTTATGGTTCTTTAGTTTTCCTAGAATTTAGAATCATTATCTTGCTAAAACTGAGAACTTAAGCACAAATCTCCAGATGCAGTTATCTGCTTTCCCACGTCCTAGCAGTATAGCATATAGTATATAGACATGCATAGTTGATAATTTGTGTTCCATTACTGACAAAATTTTGAGCCCAACGTATCTTGAGTTCAATTGCTTGCACATTTTTAATTCAAAACTAAGGTTTAGACAAGTCACAACATTTTTAGGTCTCGCAAGAATATTCATTATGAATTGCAGTTTCATCCTCACATTTGGTATGTTGATATATTCATGTGAAATTCAGTTAATGTACAGTTATTATTTGTTTTACTTTATAGAGAAGTTTGGCTTCATCTTTCAGCGCAATTCTCATGGATCAATACGGGAGAAGCTAAAGATGAGTGAGAGAAGTCGAGATAGGGAAAATGAAGGCGGTCGAGATAAAGAGAGAGATTGGGATCGAGAGAAGGAAAGAGATAGTAGTCGACTTGGAAGAAAGGAGAGAGGTCAGGATCGAGAGAAAGAAAGAAATCGGGATCGACGTAGGGACTATGAAAGAGGTAGAAGCACAAATGATGAGAGAGGAAGGGACAAATTTGATGAATGGGATCGCTTCCACAACCGTGATAATGATCGGTATGTTTGATTATGTCTCCGGATGTGATGATTGCAGCTTTTATATTAATTATTCTAATTTTTACGATACTAGAAATTCATTCTTCTACTATCCTTAATCATCAATAGTCTTACACCTAATTCAATTTGTAATGTTTTTTTGCTTTATCTTTTTTTTCCTTTTTTTTTTGGGTGGGGTGGTGGGGGATAATCAAATTCTTTCACTTTAACTTACATAGAATGTGAAAATATCTGCAATAAGGCTCTATATTAGACTGAAACACGGATATTAACCTAAATAAAAACATTGCTTCCTGACATAGTTTAGATTATTATGAATAAAATGAAGTATGATTTTTTCTATCTAGTCGCGACAATAATGGTCTTTCTACATGTAAGCATTTCTATTTTTGTACGACTTAAAAACATTGAACCGAATATACTGATGCATCTTGTTGTTGGTTATTATATTTTTTAAAACTTAGTTTTTTCCTTTTCTGCTGAAATTTCACTTCACTGGATATACATTTACTATTTCTGATAGAAGTGAATACTTTACTGACAAGTGCCTTGTTTCGAGTTTTTAATAGTATGCCATATTTTATCCATTCTAAGGGTATGCATGCCTCTTTCGCTTCTTTAGCAGGCAGAAATATGATATTGAAAAGGAGAAAAGACAAAAACATAGGTCACGCTCACGTTCAAAGGATAGATTCAGCAAGAGGACTAAGTCACGATCACCTTCTCCTTCTAAAAGGTACCTCTGTTCTTCTTCCTTTACGTTTATATATATATATTTTTTTTCTGTTTTTAATCATTATTTATCATATTTTGTTGTTTTCTCTCCTTTTTGTGCATAAGAATCATATAGCAGGTCTTGGAGGTTCTTGGCTCTGACCTTGCTTACTAGGAATGATTTTTTTTTTTTGAGATGCAATTTGCAGATGTAGGGATACGATAAAAGAAATTTTTTAACAATTGGTATGGTAAGAACTTCTGCAAGTGGCTGTTGGATTGATTTGATTACAGAAGGTTTAAGAATGACACATATAGGGAAAATATTGAGAGAATTATGTATTATGCTAGATGTTCAAAATTTAAGCCATAGCGAGTTCACACGGGGTATATTGTGCACAAAGGACGGAGGATAGGAGCTGGAAGTGTTATGTTGTCTCAGTAGGAGATTTACTGATTATAACTGAGGAATGACTCAACAGAAAATCTGAAAGCCCATTTTCTCATTGTTATGGAGCAAGTCCGCAAGAGAGTATATCCGTGTCTTCTATTTTTCTTCCCAACCCCAATCCCTCTTAATCTATCAGTGCATGCCTAAAATCATATAGTGAGTTGGATGCATAGCATTGGTCACACCTTTAGATAGTTTGACGCACTTTCAACTTTGCAATAGAGATCTTATTCCACAGAATTCATTCTGCTGTACGATCTATCTTGCTTTTGCAAAGTTGTGCATAAATAGTTTCATACTAAAATTGTTAGTAAAATATATACTTGTGTATTATTTTACACCATGTGTAGTTTGAATTAGAGGATGCTTTAAATGTTCAAATAATTGTTTATTCTTATGCTATTGAGCATAGCCTGCTACCATGAGGTCTGACTCTCAGCCTTGCTCCTAAATATTTTCTCTATCTTTGAGGTAATACATTACACTGGCTTAAGAAATTGCTAGCTGACATTTTAGAAAGTCATATTATAATTTGAGTCATTTGTTATTATAGTTTCGAAGTTAAATCAATTGTTTCCTTCACTGAAAAGACCTGCATGGCTGCTCATCTTGCACCTTACCTCATTTTGGAACTGTTGAAGAAGTATGCAGCCTTGTCTCTCATTCTGTGTGCCAGATAAAAGTTGACATCAGGCATATATCATACATCTTATCTGAAATTTTGAACCCAAATTCTATTTTGTCCATTCAAAAGAAATGTTAGAAGTCATAGTTAATTGATAGTTTGCACCATTTACGGATTGAAATGGGTCGTGATTCTTAAAAATTGAAGAGTCAGTTTTGAATATGGAAAGTTGTTAAGACTTGTAGTCCATTTTTGATGTTTGTACCGTGGAGCAATGAAGTCACCAGACAGACACTTAGGCGCTCGCTTTGGCACCCAACCGAGGCGAGGTGAGGCCCGAAGCTTGGTAAATGGGCCAAGCAGGCGACTTCTACTCGGTGCAGCCCAAGCGCTCGCCTAGCCTAGGTTCTGGGTGACACAGGTGCCTGCTTGATTCAAATATGGTTGGGTTAAGCCTTGGTTATCGATTGCAAGTCAATCGAGAGTCATTTGGTTTGATTGAACCAAATGAAACAGGATCAACACACCCCTCCCCTGCGCACACCCGAGCTGGTCTTCTCGTCGTTATAGCGTTTTCCTCGGTGAATGGTGTAGCGTCTTGGCAAACGGCAGCTGTCTTCCTCTCCATCGATGAATGGCGACGACGATTTTATCGTCCTCCAGCGAGCACTTCCTTAGTATCTCCCTCTTTCTCCTTTTCCTCCTTCGCCATCACATACTCTCTCCTCTCTCCTCCCTCCACCCTTTACCCCCCTTCATCGCAGCTCCCCACCCTCTTCTCTTCCCACTTCTCCTCCCTTTTCCTCCTTCGTCGTAGCTCCCCCCTTTCCTTGACACCATCCTCCCCCTCCCGGACCATCACCCTTCTCCTTTCCCTTCCCAAACTACAGCTCCTCCCTTCTCTCTCTTCCCCTCCCTCTTATCCCCCTTCATTGCAGGCCCCGCTCCCCTGTTCGTGATAGCATGCTCCTCCTCCTTGCTCCCAGACCATAGCCCCCTCTCCTTCATTCTCCCTCCTCCCTTATTGCGATTGCTAGATTTTTGAATCGTTAATTTTGATGTTAATTTTGAATTATTAATTTTTGCTATAATTTTGAATAATATTAATTTAGATGTTAATCTTCTTTTGTTTTGTTATTTCATTATTAGATTCAGACAATTTAGCACTTTAATGTTTTGTTGGTGGTTAAATGAATATAGTTTGATATTTAGTGGTGATATTTTTAATATGAAATTTTATGGAACTCTTATTTTGTCTAAATTTTATTTTAATGATCTTAATCGTATTTTTTTTTTCATTTTTGTATTGATGAGTGCCTCACTTCGCTCGAGCGAACGCCTAATGCCTCAGGTGTTTTGAAACCTTGGTGCCTTTTTAACACCTGGTGTCTTTGACAACATGCCATGGGGGTAAATAGCAGGTGTAGTTAACTTGATAACACTAATTAGGGCCCTATAATGTACCCTTAGATAAATTAAGGCAATGGAGGTGGCATGTTCAGCACTTCGTCTATATGACACGAGACTATGGATGGGGTTATTCTCTTCACGTATTTCTGTCCGGCCATCTTCATTTCTCAATCTTCAATTTTACACTGGCACCAAGTGTTCTTCTTGGCCACCTTACGTCCAGCCAATTACTCTTCTTGTGGTTGTTCTTATATTGGTGATAGAGCGACAGTTAATTAATTATCTCTATTCTCGGACAATATATACTTTTATATAGGAAGGTTTTCCTCCATGCAGAGTTCGATAATTAGGTATAGGATCAAATATTTAGGGATCTTTAAGATAATTTAAAAGATAAACCTGTCTGCATTTGTTCTTGGACTATGTTATCTTTAAAACGTGAATAATCACAATTTATTACATGTCCAGATAATTTTCTTGGGAAGCTTAATTCGATTACAGAGTTGGCAATGCTTTACACAGCAAAAAGTGCATTAGGCCAACAGTCATTTTATTAAGACCCTGAAAATGCATACATTCAACCAAAATTTATTCCCTTAGGTTATTTAAGTTCTGACTATGATGCGGAGAGTTTATTGTTCCTTTTCCTTCTGCAGTAAGCGTACAAGTGGTTTTGACATGGCTCCTCTTGGTGTGTCTGATACTGCCATTGCAGGTGTGTGTCCTGTTAAGTTATTGCTATTTTGTCCATCATCAGCAATTGGAAATTCGTACTTATGAAAATTATATAGGACTATTTATTACTTTATAATAGTTTTATATGGAGACTGAGAACCATTGTTCTGTTGTTGGCTGTTGTGTGTGTGTCTTTCTCTGTGACTCTGTTTTCGTATGGGTAAGAAGGCAATATTGGGCTACGTATCCCAAGATGCTATCAAAAGGCGTGCCTACAGTAGATTTTATGTTCGAGGGACAAATATATGTTCAAGGAACCAATGCACTGAGTTGTGGAATCGGCTTCAACCGGGAATTATCACACTTTGGTAGACTTAAGAGAAATATCCCCATCAGCTGCAGTGGTGTATTATTTTCTTTTTGAGTTTTGCTGTTGATAATGCAAGTCATATTAAGTAGGAATGTTTGCCTTAAAAGAGGAGTGAACAAGTGTCAGAAGCAGAAATTTCTGTGTTGTTGAATTCCCTGCTGTTTGTTTTTACATTATATAGGGTCACTGCCTGTTGTTCCACAACTTGTGACAGGAACTTTACCAACCATGTTACCTGTTGCAACCCATCAGGTACTTAAGAATTTTGCTTTACTCAGATACCTTGTTCATTACATGCATATGATGTTTCTGTTAACATAAAATTGAATTATTTGGCATAGATTGGATCAATTGCACTTATGCCAGCACAAGCGGTGACTCAACAGGTAACTTGTGACCATTTCTTTTGATCTTAAGTTGTTTCATTGAAATGCCTAGGATTTGAAGATGCTCTCGTTTTAGGCAACAAGGCATGCACGCCGTGTATATGTTGGAGGCCTACCTCCCATGGCAAATGAGCAGGTTCTATTCTGACTGCATTTTGTTCTAAGTGGCAATTTTCCTGATACTCTCAGACAAGACACAAATTATTTAATCATTGTGTTCCCACAAGATCTTTTGTTCCCAAAATATAAAGCATTACCATTTAGTTGACAATATAAGAAGACCATGCCAGCCATTAATCGTCTTTGATTTTCCACCTGCACAAACTTATGTTGCTTCATATCATCTTCTGTTTGTACTGATATGACTTAAGTACATCAGATTATGTTATATATTCCTTTTCAAGTGATTATTTGGTGTAATATGTAACAACTCTAGATCCTCCAGGTTCATCCTGTTGTTCGTAAATAATTGTTCTTGTTTTCAGGTAACACACATAAGTATATAGAAATTTGTTATGCATCAAATGAGCTTTTCTATTGTATACTTGGTACCTCTGTCTTGGTTGCTCCCTTGTGACAACTCTAGATTCTCCAGGTTCATCCTGTTATTCGTAAATAATTGTTTTTGTTTTTAGGGAACACATATAAGTATGTAGAAATTTGTTATGCATCAAATGAGCTTTTCTATTGTATACTTGGTACCTCTGTCTTGGTTGCTCCCTTGTGACCTTTGTTTACCTATTGTACGGAAACATCCTCTATGTTACATTGACCCTCCCCAGACCCCGTATTGATTGGAATCTCGTGCACCGGATATACAACTTGGGTATGCTGATTCACTATTTACGTAACTGTGTCACTGCAACCATACATGCAATAGTAGTATATCTATGTTTCAATGTCTTTACAATAAATGACCTTTGTGTATGTTTACCGACATCTGAATTTGTATGTGTATAAAAAATTATACAATGCTTCTTTAGTAAAATAATCATAAATTAGAAGAGCTTTTAGAATGTCATTAATGAAAATGGGAAGTATATGAACCTGCCTGCAATATTTATGTACACCAGTTCAGATGAGCACATAAATATCAAGGATTATACTAAGAGCATATTAATATGCACAGATGAGCATAGACATTTAAGGTTAAGTTTGTTTCAGAGCATGTGTAGTTGAATTCTGTCTAAATGCTCCAGTATCTAAAATATGCTCCATAGTTGTATTCTCTGAAGGTTCCTCATGATTAGTTTAGTCAGTGGAGCAGTTATTTGTATTTCCCTGATCTTTGTTTCTTGGATCAGCTTGTTGCATAATTATGTGTATTATCAGAACTTGATATTCCTTGTCTACCATGCATGTGGTAACTTATATCTTGTTTGGCCTTCTAAACAGACAATTGCTACATTTTTTAGCCATGTAATGTCTGCCATAGGAGGAAATGCTGCAGGTCCAGGTAGAAACATTTTCCAAGTCGTTCTTTTTCCATAATGGTTTTCTCTCTCTAGTTGTTTAACTGTGGCGACACATGTTTTATACTCTTATTGTGTTTGCGTCCGGTTAACCTCAAATGCTCTGATGGCAGTGCACCAGAGAGGAAAAAAGGAAAAACATTGCAAGTTAGGTTTACGCGGTGTAATTTTTGCATGTGAAGTATCAAATATGATAAAGAAAGAAGAAATGTATTAGAATTTATGTTTCAGATTAAGCCAATAATTTTATTTGAGGCCTTCCACTTGATCAGACATGCCTTGCAACTAGGCTTGTACTGTTGTTGTCACAGATGCTATGCCACATTCCACCCCATTTAAAAATTCTTGTGCATGTTTTGTGCATAAGAAGAAACAAAAACATTGGGTTCTGCATTTTAGGTTAAGCCCATAGTTTTTTCTATAGCACTCTAATGAGCCTATCTTTTGCAATTAATCTTGTATATGTGGCAGGCAAAAGTTCATGCTACATTCAAATAAATTTTCATGTGAATTTAGTTTCATACTAGACACTTAATTGCTTTTTTTTTTTGATGGCTTGACTAATGAATAGGGCTTCTTTAAATTATTTGGTTTTGATCCTTGTGCTGTATTGGGTGTATATATCATCTTAATTTGGTACAGATTGTCATTACAACCTAGATTTTGGATGATGAGAACCTAATTACTTTACTTTAGTCTCTGTAGTTCATCCTTGTGCTAGATTTTGCATGTTCATTGATTTGCAGATTTACTTGAAGAAAAAAAATTAAAAAGAAGTGTTTACAATTCATTAATAATAGAAGGCAGCTTTGATTAGGGTAAATCAAGGGAAAACTAATTGAATTTGTTTGGGCAATAAATTTATGATGTGTAAATGCATTGGTTAGATGAGCCAATTTGGACTAGTGGTGCATGGGGAGGTAGAAATAGACACAAGTAAATTCTGTATGGAACCTAAAAGCTAATATCTTATGATTTCTCTTAATGTATGTACTTTGACCATGCACTTATGTTCTTTATAATTTTCTTGTGCCTATTTCCGAATAGTCATGCATATGACTTTGTGCAAACAAGAGTGTTCTTTTTCCCTCTTATGTTGTGAACATGCAATATGCTTAGAGGTGGGGAGCCCACATGACATTTGGAGTTTGTCCGCTCAGGGATTTCCTTAATTACATGATTCTATTCTCTGTTCTGTTGGTCACTGTCTGAAAGATTTAAAGTGCCATAAGCACCACACCTGCTGTTTTGGTTATTGCTGACAGTCACATGATGGTGGCATGACTTGCACACCTCCTCCAACAGGTGGCCTATTTAACTGGCTTATTGTTCCCCCTCCATCTTGTCCATGGCAGTTCCGAGTCTATTGTGAAAAAGGTGTGAGGTAATATGAATGAGGTGAAAAGGCATTTGGAAGACTGAAGCCTTAAATTTTGGTTTATACCAATTCAATTGTCTTCGATACCATGGTTGGACCGAAACTGGTTGTTTGGAACATAACCGCTGGTTTGGGTAACAGATTCATAACAGAATCAGTCTTAGGTACACATACCAAGATCATCAACCTCCAATATGCACTCAACTCTCTGATAGCCTGAATATTCCCATATAAATCTTTTGTTGTTACTCGTTAGCACCATTCTGTGCTTGCATCGCTCATATCTTGCATTTTCTCTTCTGTAGGCTTTCCACTTGTCTCCTCTGACTTTCCCTTCTAATGTTTTTAATTATTTATTTTTTTAACACGGTGACAACATGATTATATCTGCAAGAGGTCATGGCCATTAATATTTTGGTAAAGGATTTGAAAGCAAACTGGCAAATTAGTTTAATTTGTTGGAAAGGATAAAACAATAGCGTGCCTATCTCCTTCTAGGATGTAACCAGATAACTTTGCTAAAAACCTAAAAGTATTCTATTGTACTAAAATATCAAATGTAAGGAAAGAGTTAGTAACCACAACAACATGTTAGTGGTATATATTGCTATGTAGAGTATATTTGCGACATTCATTTTCTTGGTTGGACTTTTGAGTCTCTAAGGTCCCGTAACCTCTAGTAATCCAGTTTATTGCTTTTACTTCGGAAGCTGATTTTTTTTACACTTTCTTTCAGAAATGAGTTTGATATATTTGTTTCTTAGGTGATGCTGTTGTCAATGTATACATAAATCACGAAAAGAAATTTGCTTTTGTGGAGATGAGATCAGTAGAAGAAGCAAGTAATGCGATGGCATTAGATGGGATAATTTTTGAGGTACATTAACATTCTAAAAACCATCCTTTTTGTCATCATCTGGTATCCATAATTATATAGTTAGTTATCCTCTTGCTGTCATTTCGTGCTAGCTTGACTTAACAGTTGGTTATCCTCTTGCTGTCATTTTGTGCTAGCTTGACTTAACTATATTGTGCTTAACTGCTTATGATGAAATATGAAATTAGTGTCAACAATGAATACAACAAGATCATCTCAGTATTTTATGAGGATAAACATACTGTCCTTTGATTTTTAGCTGTCTTATCTAGCACCTATCATGTGGTTAATGCTTTGAATTCTCTCTTTGGTGGAAAATTAAATCTCTCATTTAACTCTGCCATCATTTTCTGTACTTTGTTATAGATTAGGAATTTTTTCTTTTTTCTTTTTTTTTCTCTGTCCCCAGCACAGCAGAGCAAATTTGCTAATCTACATTTGTGTACCTCTTTTAATCTTGAAAGGGAGTTCCAGTGAAAGTTCGAAGGCCTACAGACTATAATCCTTCCTTGGCTGCAACACTTGGACCCAGTCAACCCAGTCCGCATCTTAACTTAGCTGCTGTTGGTCTTTTACCCAGGTGTGTCATCACATGCTTTCATATGGCTGGGGATACAATATCTTGTTTATTTTCACAATCATGAGATTTGGAAAAGAAGTATTACTTAATAAATTTGGACAGCCTTGATATTATGATGTTTTTCTATGTATTTTTGATCAGTTTGATTTCACGTGGCCCTCAATTGAAGTATTAGAATACTTTAGTTTCTTTAGTTACTGGACACTTATCATATGCTTTGTTGACAGTGCAATTGGCGGATCGGAGGGACCCGATCGTGTCTTTGTGGGTGGGCTGCCATACTATTTCACAGATGCACAAATAAGGGAGCTCCTAGAATCGTTTGGGTGTGAATACTAAATCCCTTTTTTCTGGTTGTTTTTGTCCTAGTATTTTTATGTTTTTAGCATCTCATGTTAAAAGGGATGAGAATATTCTGAAAAATATATACATTTAGTTTCTTACCTTACATTTGTCCTCATTTCAAGTGTCACATCCGCATGACCCACCTTCATGTATTACATGTGGGCTCATAATTTCTGCTGATATAATTTTCTTTTCCATTGATTTAGTCCTCAGTGATTCCGAAATAAGTACCTTGGTTGCAGGGATTTTGTTATATGTTTGTTTTATTGTACTGTATACTAATGAGGTCTTGTGGCTTGTTTTTATTTCAGACCCCTGCGTGGATTTGATCTTGTAAAAGATAGAGACACAGGAAACTCAAAAGGTTATGGTTTTTGTGTCTATCAGGTAAAATTAAATTGAATATTATGGTGTTGCCTTTTTATCTACATTTTTAATGCCATCCGAAAGCTCTTTTGTTAATTTAGGATCCATCAGTGACTGACATTGCATGTGCTGCACTTAATGGCCTCAAAATGGGTGAAAAGACACTAACAGTCCGACGTGCCACTGCCAGGTTTGTATGTATGCTCAATGGTGCAATAGTGGCATATCCTAATGTCTAGTGTCAGTCCATGTAAATGGCACTTCTGTGTGAATTTTATTGTTTATAACTTTATATGCCCAAGTATAGTATCTTATGATGAAGATACCTCATTCTAATCTGCAGCATGGGACAGATGAAACCAGAGCAGGAGTTGATCTTACAGCAGGCACATGAACACATAGCTATTCAGGTATATAGATTTAGATCATCAAGGTGGCATTAAACCCATTTAAATTTCTTCATGCATAATCTTCACTAATTTGAAGCTGCTCCATGAAGAAACTAGCTTTGCAAAGTGGTGGTGCCTCGCATTTTCCGGGGTTTGCTTTGAATGCCAACACATCTGCAGAACCGCCAACCAAAGTTGTATGCTTAACAGAGGTAGCCGTTGCCGCCCTTTCTTCACTTGGTACATTGTTAAAGGCGCCTGGCAAACAGAGTATTTATAGTGAAGGGGGCATTTGGTCTAAAACTTGATAAGAACGTCTGCAAATGCATACATTAGGATGTGCAATATTTACTGATGCAGAAGGGCTTATTTAGATGTTTGCACTTGCAGATTCTGAAGATATAGATATGGTATTTGTATTGATGCATTCGGGGATCAATATGCATAATGGGAAAAATGTTCAAGTAATATTATGATTTTATCAATATATTATTGTAGGTTTATGACAATATAATTTTCCAAACAAAGCCTTTGATGCTGACTAATAAATTATTATCGTTGTATTATTTTTTAAATACTACAATAGTAGAGTCTAAAAATTATATTATTATATTATTTTACTTTTTTACTGCACCACATTGGGTTTCATAAAAAATATAATTTATTTCCTTATTTTATTAAATTTTATTGCTTAATTATTAATGCAAACTACTTTAATCATTATTTTGATGGGCATGGGTTTCTTGTGCTAGCCTTGCATCTTGTTATGTGTTGGTTTTCATTGCATGACAAAATGCAAACTTTTGACATAATGCAACAAATAGCTAGTTCATGATACATATAGATCCTGACTAGAATTTACTTCTGGTTTAAGAAACTGTTATCATTGTATATAAAGAAGGATACCTGAGATTATTTATCTACAAATTGAGGTGACATTAAATGACCTTATCATTCTGTCATTTGCAAACTAATTTTGTGTACCTGCATATTAGCAAGTCTGTTATTTCTGTTCTTTGATTCAAAAAATAATAATACGGCCAGATGCATTCTGTCTCATTTTCATAGTGCTTGATAATTTGTTGTTTCCTTTTTATTAATTTATTGAACTGGGTGTTTAAAGGTTGTTTCTGTGGATGAACTGAGAGATGAGGAGGTGTACAAAGAAATACTAGAGGACATGAGAGAAGAAAGTGAGAAGTTTGGTAAGTTCTGGAGTTACTGCTTATGGATGCCTTCCGTCAATTGCTTTCTTCCTTCAATTATGTTATCCCTTCTTTCCTGTTGTTTGTCAAGGTTCTTTGATAAATCTTGTCATACCTCGCCCTGGTCCAACTGGAGAAGTGATTTCTGGAGTCGGAAAGGTACGTATCTTTTCTTGGTTCTAATTGAGACCAGTCGGTAAATCGGTCAAATGGTTGAATTACAAGATCATATTATTATTTTAATGTAGAAGTTATAATTTATCATGGTATAGTAGTACAATGTGGATCAAGAAGTGACCCTCAACCCGTGAGATTAGGATTGTCAGTCCTTATTTTTTTCCATTGGCCATGTAAAGGGTTCGACAAGCACTGAATTAGCCTTATTCTTAATTACTATAGTTGGATGACTGTGTCTTCTGACATCCAATCACAAACTTATTCTTAATTACTATAATTTGTAATTACAAGACTTTCTAGTCAAGGGAAAGTGAACTCCAGGCATTACCTTCTCTGTCTTTTCAATAGATTATGCTGCCTTACAGCAATTGTTTTATAAAAAAATTATGTTTCAGGTCTTTTTGGAGTTTGCAAATGTCACGGACTCGGCTAGGGCGAAAGTTTCCCTCCATGGTAGAAGGTTTGGGGGAAATGTTGTCAGTGCTACATATTATTCCGAAGAAAAATTCGCCACAGGAGATTACGACGCAATGGTTGTGGCTTGACCAGGATTTTTGCTGCCTTCTTTCTCGTCTTTGTTCCATCTTTCCGCTGCTCTGCAACCATGTGTCTTTCTAAACGTGAACTTCTTGCCTGTAACACCCGTCCATTTATTGTTCACCATGCTTCATGCTCATAATCAGTGTGAGTTGTCGATCATAATCATCGGGTGCATTCCAGAGCAACTCTGTATTTTATATGCCAGCTGATTTGTTCTTTTCTGTGTTCCTATTAGCGACGCCAGGCAAGATTTTTATTTTTTTTGTTCCATGGAATGCCGATGCAGGTGCTGCCACTCTCCATTACTTCTCTCGACTGCACTCCGAACTTGGAATCGATGGTCTTCCAACCATGCTGATCGCTGCCACGCTCCATTACTTCCACTCCGCCCACCCTGCTCGCTCCTTCTGCGCCACCTTCGCACGCGTGATCCCAAGGTGAGGCCCACCTTGTGTCTTTCTACTCCCGTGCACGCGTATTTGATCCTCAGTTCTCAGACCTTTGAATCTGACGGTTGACTTGTCGACGTATCGTTCGTTCCACGCTCCCACAGAGAAACGAGAGAGAACCCCATGGTTTTTCTTAGCCGAGTGAGCTCGGGGCGGTCACCAGAAGCCCACCCTCCTAAAACCGGTTGACCACGTCGTCTCCGTCTTCGTCGTCGGGGTGGTCAATTGCCATCGAGCTGATGTCAGGTCGGTGGGGTCAGGGTTCCGACTTGGCTGAGCTACCGGACGCCGCAATGGCGGTGGCCCCCCACGGGTTTGGTATAGCACCAACCGGATTGGTGTGGTGAGAACGCGGAGTTGCAACCCATTGGTTCTCCGCCATGGAACCCACAAGACGGATCCCGCAGCTGGAGGCCAATCGGAAAGCAGCCCTTTGTTTGAGGCCTACCCCGGAAACGCAGGACGCGGTCGGGGCTCAACCGCGTGGGCCCGACATGACAAGTGGTGGCAGAGGAACCGTGTTCCCTGTCTTGGCCGAGACAGGTGAGGTTAACATAATCAAATCAGCTGCGACCCGGGGCAGGTCGTTCCCTCGACACTTCCGGATCCTCTCCAAACACCGTATTGTGGTATTCAAGAAGACTAGGTGGGCCCCTACGATCTGACGGATGCGATGCAGCAATTGGAAGGTTCCGATTCAAGCTCCAAGTGAAGAGGATCCGCCGCCTCCTTCCCTTTTGCTCGCTGAGCTCCCGTTTTCTCCCGCTCAAAACGACCTTGTGGGCGACACCGCCGCTGATCCCGTCCGCGACTCTTTAGATCCGCCTCCAAACCACCGTGCTGTCGATGGTCACCACTTCTTCTTCTTCCTCCTCCTCCTCCTCCTGTTTTAAAGTGATCGACTACGCAAGCCGTAGTGGGGCATGGCATTGCTGCGGCCGCTCATGGCGAAGGCGGAGGCGCGGTTCTCCAACCAGAGGTTCTTCTTCCCTTGTCGGAAGTCGAGGACCTACACGCTGGCCCTGACGTTGCTCCTCGCGCTCTCCGTCGTCCTTCTCGTGCTCCTCGCCCTCGACGTCCTCTCCCTCCCCATCGGCCCACTCTTCGCACCCAGTCGCTCCCACAGCGAGAAGACGTAAGAGTTTCCGATCCCTTTCTCGTGGATTTGGCGGTCAGGCATGATGATTCGACCGCTTTGTTTTTGTTGGTGCAGGGAGGGGTTCGTCCAGAGCGGGCGTCAGTGGACGGAGGTCATCTCCTGGGAGCCCAGAGCTTCCGTCTACCATAATTTCTTGGTTAGTTTATTTCTCCTTCCATTCTTTATTGTTTTCTTTATTCATGTGTCCGTTCGAGCTAAATTAATGTGATTTGTGCGATTGGGGCAGTACGGATTTAGAGAGGTTCTTTCTTTTTTGTGTGGTTTTTCTTATTTTTGTGGGAATTTAAGCTCTGAAACCTTAATCGATTCGGATCTTCCTGGTAGGAGGATTGATGCTGGAGCTGTCCTGTATTCATGCATTTTGTCCAACAGTAAACATGCTTACTTGATACTTGGAGAAGATGAAGAATGTAGCGAAGTTCAAGTTTCCCTTTTCCGACTTGCTGGCACTTGATGCACTTTGTTTTCCATTGTTCTCGATTAGATTTCATGGAATCGATTCTTGTTGAAGTTGCATTAGATTTCATGACATGATTAGTTCAGGTCATGCAAATGTTTCCTTTTACTCTCCTGCTTTTATGCTTATGAAATTGACCTCCAATTGCTCAGAGGTAAAGAATACAAAGTCTCCTATTCCTTATCATAGGATTTTTCCATCAGGCTTTTGGGGACGTTATAGTTTGGGGATTATTTAATATTATTAACTTTCTTCTTGTGCAATCTTGCACATAGTGACATGTGTTTTGCCTCACTTCTGTTACTAAGTCGGTGACATGTGACATATGACGTGCTCATAAGGAATTATTCGTTTTGGATGAGCCCGTACAGTTTTATCTTTTTAGGATGAGCTCCAAGAAGGTACTTTTAAGGGTAAGGGTGATGCTAGAGACTTATAAGTCTTTAGTTCCCCTATTCTTCAATCAATATGGGACTCAATGTCCTTATCCGTTGAAAGTGATAAGTCAATATTTTGTCATCATTAGTGCGAGCATGAAGGCTCGTGAGGAATTATCTGCTTTGGGTGAACCCATACAGTTTTGCCTGTTTAGGATAAGCCCCAAAAGGCACCTTTGAGGAGCTGGGGAATCAAGGGCTTAAAACCCTCTAACATCACCCTTATCACTAGAGATACCTTTTGGGGATCACCCTAAAAGGGTAAAACCGTACAGACTCACCCAAAGTGGACAATTCCTCATGAGCCTTCATGCTCGCACCAATGATAACAAAATGTTGACTTATCAGAATGGTGCTAGGAGGGTCATGAGCCCTCAGCTCCCCTATTGGGAGGCATTGATAAGGGCATTGAGTCCTACATTGGTTAAGGAGTAGGAGGAATCAAGGGCTAATAAACCTCTAGGATCACTCTTACCATCAAAGATGCTTTTTGAGGCTTACTCTGAAAGGGTAAAATCGTGCGGGTTCATTCAAAACAAACAATTCCTCACGAGCCTTCATGCTCACACCAATGAAAAAATGTTGACTCATCAATGTATAAACAAAATCTGATCAAAATATAATCATATGCCCAATACCTCATCTAGAGATGTCTCTCGTTATTGCATGAAGTTTCATAATTCATTGTGTCTCTTTGGCTCCTTTGCTGATATCAGTTCTCTGTGGTGGCATGCGACGACCGAAAGTCATCATGACTTGAAATTCCTACAATCTGCTAAGTTAACCATCATATTCTGAACTCAGCTTTAGGCATATGATTTAGATGTATTTTTTGGTCACATCATTAATGTTTACACTCCCTGGCAATCACTTGGTGTCAAACCCCTTGCGGTAATCAACTAACAGTATTTTCATGATGTTTTCCTTAATTCACTTGAGAACACAACAAACAGATTGCATTTCAAGGTGGTATCTAATTGTTATTCCTCCTCCATAGCCTTTTTCTATGCAAATCTCTTCAACTCTGTCTTGGCAGCTAAGATGATCATTAAATGTTTTATTTTAGATAATGCAACAGCTGTAAATTCTTTGCTGTTAGTGTCATACACTGTGTTTGATGGAAACTAAGTTGTTTCCACGAGAAAACACTTCTTAGCAAATGTTATTAGTCTGCATGGGGTTTATCAATTACAACTTCCTCATTTTCTTGTGCCTCTATTTAAGGGCGGGTGGATTTTTATCTGTGCACTATTTACATATTGATTCAGATGTGTTTCTAACAGTCCAAGGAAGAATGTGAGTACATAATTCAGCTGGCAAAGCCTCATATGAAAAAATCAACAGTTGTCAATAGCACTACTGGTGGGAGTGAAGATAACAGGTTATCAGTTTTCATCCATCTGTCAAAACTTCTAATTTTGACTTGATCAAGAGCTTCTCAACAGTCAGTACTCACATATGTATTTGCTGATAGTGTTCGAACAAGCTCAGGCATGTTTCTTCAAAGAGGACGTGATAAGATAATCAGATCCATCGAAAAAAGGATAGCAGACTATACCTTCATACCTGTAGGTAAGTTATTGACAAATGAAATTGATCGATACTAGTTTCTGTAGCTTCTTCTTTGATACAACATCTTGAACCAATTTTCTCAGTTTTTAAAAGCCTTATACAGAATTATAAAGGAGATCAATATCTAAGAGAAAATCTACATATCTGGAAGACATTCAATAAGTGAGATTATACATGGTTTTCTTATACATTGTTTTCTTCATGAGAGCCACTAGTCAATTAATATCTTTCCTGCTTTAAAGGCAGCCTATGAAATCTGAACAATACAATTAATGAAATTTGGTCAAAGGAAAAAAGGGATGAGCTTTGGAGGAGGCTATATGGTTAGAACCAACAACATTGGGCAGTGTAAATTTTCGGAAATGATATGGAAAAGACAAATACAAATCTGTAGGATATGCAGAACATTTCAGGATAACCATAGCAGTTTTAGATGGGAAATTTTAAATCCATAATCGTCTTTAGTTTCTTGTTTATATTGTTTCCTTATCTGATATTTTCTATACAATATATATGTGCAGGAGGAAGTATGATGGGAACTTGGCAATTTGCAATTTGGTACAAGGGAAAATTAGAACATAACTGTGGAGAGTCTAAATGATTCAGACATAAAACATGATAACTTTTTTTGGTATTTTAAATGTATTTTGTTGAACGATAAAGTTATTTCCATCGCATTAATGCAAAAATTAAAACGCTGAATGATTCTCAGAAAAAGAATATATATAATGCTAAACTGCAAGATATTTTTCTTTAGGTTTCTTGACATCTTTATTTAGTTCAAGGAGCATAGTTTATTGCTGTAATATATCAACTAAAGATCACCAGTTAAGCTAAATTCGGCTTGTAAAATATTTTTGCACTTGACCTTTACTTCCATCATGGATTCCTACTCTGATCTGATTCATCTAATTATATAGAGCATGGGGAGGGACTCCAAGTTCTTCATTATGAAGTTGGTCAGAAATATGAACCTCACTTGGACTACTTCGCCGATGAATTCAACACTAAGAATGGGGGTCAGCGGATAGCTACCTTCTTGATGTATCTGTATGTGACTTCACATCTTAGATTCCCTTAAGACTGTGTTAAGGTTGCATTAAACTGCTTATCACTGAAGCCATCTCTGTGGTTCTTCCTTTATTCCTTTTGATATCCTATGGACAGTTCGGATGTTGAAGAAGGTGGTGAGACAGTGTTTCCTAATGCCAAAGTCAACAGCAGTTCGTTGCCAGGGTACAATGAGCTATCGGATTGTGGAAAGGCAGGTCTTGCTCTAAAACCAAAGATGGGAGATGCCTTACTCTTCTGGAGCATGAAACCTGATGCTACTATGGACCCATTAAGTTTGCATGGTTTGTTGCCCATCATATCTTTATTCAGAGAAGTTTCTATTCAGGAACCCTGACATAAAGTATCTTTTGATGTAACAATAATGATTCTTTCTTTATAAATTATGTTGTATCTTCTGAAAAATTCCTTATTGACTAAAAGCTTATGCCAGAAGATTTTCTGATTCATTCTTGCAGGTGCATGCCCTGTAATTAAGGGAAATAAGTGGTCTGCTCCAAAGTGGATGCGTCTCCATGAGTATAAAGCTTGATATTTTCACTGAAGGTACTTTCCTGCTTCCACATCCGCAATATCTTATAAAAGTTTAACATCTGAAATTTAAATATTCCTTAATAAACTAATAGTTGCCTGTTGCACAAGATCTCATGGTCCAAAGCCATCTTTTGGAATTTATTGTGTCCCTGCCAAGTATGAGTTATTCCTCAACTTTATGTATTAAAAGTTAAAACATCTACAAGATTGTGATGCTGAAATCATAAAGTTGGAGTTTTATCACAAAGCCTGACATGAGTTACAGCTTCAAACAGCACAATTTTTGCAAACATTATTGATTACCTATTAGTACCTCTGTTATGCTTAAGATGTAAGTGTTCCTACCACTAAAAAACTCTTTCGTTTGATAAAATCTTCAAAATTGAGTAGGAACATAGGACATCCTAGAAAAGAGAATTTCTTTTGATCTTTTTGTAATGGGTATCACATCTGTTTTTCTTCCTCTTGTTTTGCTTCTGTCATCAATGCCATTTTTCATGCATGTCAACACTCTTTCATTCAAGTTGCTGATGGTGTGAAGAGAAAGTGGGCTCTTAATTGAAAATTGAGGAGTTATATTTCATTCATGTCAATAATCTTTTTACATTGTTTCTTTTTTGCAGGAGATAAGTTCAAGTGGCTGCAATCTCCACTGTATTTATCAGCAAAGTCTCTACCCAACTCGAAACAATCGTGCTGCTTGTCAGTCTTGCCATTTTTTTTTTGTGTGTAGCATACATGATAAAAAAAGAATACTTATTTCCTGCAGCAGTTCTGTTTTAGTTTTAGAAATGCTGATGTTTTATTGTATGTAATATTTGAGAATTATGTTTTAGTATTTTTTTTGTACCGAAAATACAGTAAATAATGTATCGTTGATACGCAGACTTTAATATTCTACTCATAGATTTTGGACCCTACTCCTGTTATTAATCTCATCTGTGTTTTGTCCAAATGGTGCAAACTTTCTTTCAAGGCATTTTCCACTTCACTTTAAAATACCATGCTTCCATCTGAAGCAAGGTTGAATGGCTGCTTATAATGGATCTGACAGTGAAAGTTTCATATTTTTATATCTACAGCACAAAATTAACCTTCAATGTCTATTACATCTGGAGCATTTCTTGTGATCATGTTCTGTGAAGTTGAATATTATTTGATTGTGATGTGTGACATGATCTTTTATCAAGTATCATTAAATTGCCATTTGGCCAATTACAGCTGCTAATTTTTTTTATTATAAACGATCAACTGTACATCATAATTATTTCCTTTCAATGTATATTGAAATATTTTTTTGAATAATTTTGTTACAAATCAATCAATCAATCATCAATGACCTTTTTCTTTTTTGTGCTTTGTATATGTATCATCATAGAATCAATCGTATGGAGGGAAAGGGGCAATGCTCCTACTACATCGAACCGTCCGTCATTTATCTGAGATTAGCACTTCTCATAGATTAACGGTTAGGATCTTCTCGAAGGCGGAGGGGCAATACTGTTATTTAATTGAGATTTTTCCATGCCGTGAAGGATGAACAACAGCGTCTGTGCGGGTACAAAAGCACAGCGCACCGACGCCACCACACCCACCTGTGTGAAGCCGAGGAAGCGAAGGCTCAAGCCGGCCCCCCTCGCACGTGCCACACGCTTCGTCCGCTTGAAATCTCCCTCCGCCTAACAAACCCTCTGCTTCGGCCCCCGATCGTCTCAGATCTGCTGCTATTTCGTACCCCTAAATTCCAAGAACGAGTCCTTCCGCACATGGGGATCCCGTCCCCGAAATCTTGAATTCCTGCCGCAGATCCAAGCCCGCCATGGCGACGGAGGCCGTCCCAGTCCGCCTCCCTTACCGCCACCTTGACGACGCCGAGGTCGAACTCGCCCGCCTCGACGGGGATCCCAACGGCCAGATCCACGAATCCGAGGTCTCCTGCAGCGTCCCCATCCCTTCCTCTTCGCCTTCTTCCTCCTCGAGCCCTTCGCGGCCGCGGGAGAGGACCGGTTGGAAGACGTTGATTCTTAGTTGTATGGTTGCCGCCGGAGTGCAGTTCGGTTGGGCCTTGCAGCTATCGCTGCTTACACCCTACATCCAGGTGGGATCGCTTTCTGTAGTGATTTATTGTTCTTTTTTAATCAGATCTCTTGATATATGTTAAGTAAGAAGTGGATTACATATTAGAAGGAAAAAAGAAAAGATCAAACTGTAACATTGGTTGAAGAATTATGAGAAATTTAGGATGTTTACTCCCGTTAATTATGTAGCGGGAGTTCATAAGTAGTCTGAATTTTCCATAATTTGGTTCGTGGAATTGGGATCACACAGTTTTATATCTATTATCTAAGAGGTAATTACCGAGATAGGTTGATGATGAATAAGTGTTCATCTAGCCCCCAGACAGATGCCCAGGTGCTCTGTGAAGTTCTAAAGATAGCCATCACTCATCAGATAACTGAGGCTGTGCCAGGCAATAAATCTGTCCCAAATCGAGCTAATAACTCAGAGGATTTCGATGACAAAGTTTATGCATCATTTTCTGAGTTAACTAATACTATGTTATGGAAATATCAGACTATTTCTATTAAATTAGTATTTCATGTTACCTTAGCTTGGAAGAAAAATCTGTAGTTGTTATTAAATTAGTATTTCATTATTATTTTAAAGTGGCTCATAAATGTAACCAGACACAGAAATATTGGAGATGTTGGTGCATGACTCTCTGTACTTGTGCATAATGTAAGATTGTATATTGATATATGGTTGGCCTAGGCTAAAATACGTCAGACTATGCTTGTTTACCCCCTAAATAGTAGTCCAGATTCTCAAGTGATTGCCCATAACAAGGATCATTTTAAATATAGGAACTATGACAAAGTATCATAGATTTTCAACAAAGAGAACACATTAAGCTAATCCAGTATCTAGGAAAGGAATTTATCACAAAAGGAATGGGAGATTGATGATTTTAAAGTTGCTGACATGATGAACTCCTTGATAAGTGGTTTAAAAAAAACTAGTAAAGTAAGCATCTGGGAATTTTTTTTTTGGAAAGGGGGATTATTTTAATTTTTATATTCTGGTTGAGAGCACAAAAGAAAAAATTCAGAAAAGAAATATGAATTCCTGTTGAATGTTTGTTTCCTTTGTGTCAAGAGTGACAACCTTGGTATTAGGAAAACCTCCATTTGACGATGATGATTTTCACTCTTATGTCTCAGTCTATCCTGCATTGATGCACCACTGATAAATGATAATTTTGAAAGCAATATATCTCCTTGATTGTGTAGAATTTTTTGTTGAAACTTGCTATTATTGTGGTTTGTTCTGTCTGACACATAGGTTTAGATTTATAATATTTTGAAATATTAATGTTTCTTTTTTGGGTGTTTGTCATAGACTACATGCTTCTATTTCCTGCTTGAATATTTTAGATCTATTACTAAATTTGATTAACCTGGTTTATGCAGACATTAGGAATAGAGCATGTTTTTTCATCATTCATTTGGCTTTGTGGACCAATAACTGGCTTCGTTGTAAGTATCCACAGCTTGTTTATCCAGGAAACAGCAATAAGATATTAATTTGGTGATTTGTTCTTGATACTGCTAGTTATTATGTGGACAGTGCTTCATTTAGTATGTAAATGTTTTTTCTCCTCAACAGCTTTGTGGGAGTTAATTGGTCATAACTAGTTCTGAATGAGCTGATATTATCTTGTTTCATGATATTCCGACCTTAAATCATTATTTTGGTATTAAGTTCTTGGCATAGATTCATTGGACGAAGCGTCATAAAAGAGAGGTTGAGTATGAAGAAATATCATGTAAAATGTCTTATTTTTTTCTCAAAGAAAAATTAATCCTAGACACAATTGCTTGAATTGGAAGGTATATATTTTCGTTTTTTTAACTAATCTTTGGTGCATTTAGTTATGCTCCTTAGCTGTGCAATGAAAATGCTTTATGATCTAGATAGGTTCTTAAACTTGCTTGTTGATACTTGATAAGCGGGTGCATATTTTCTATGTTTTAAGATGCTTCACTGCATTGCCTAGACCGCCATATGTGTGCAAACATTGATCTGTTAGTGTGCCTTTAGAAGACAAAAGTTCAAAAGAAAAAAATAAAAAACTGAGATGTGCCATGTGAGTGACTAGTTTTTGGAAAAAGAAATTAATACATGATGAAGAAAAATACTGCCATGATACAGATAGTGAAAGTTGTGATAGATTCATGGCTTTGATGATTTAATAAGCGAACGTTGCTACCAAGGAAGCTAAGGAGAACAGAATTGGTGCAAACCCTACAATATGATGGCAGAGGCCATGCATGAGATTTGTAGTTTGTCTTTCCATCGACCAAAGGGAGCTGCTTGGAGAATACAGAGGTGTTGAAACAGGGGGTCGAAAGGGGCGAGGAAGCGACGATGAGTCCAGAGGGACTTGGCTACCCAAAATCAAGCATCAGTTAGAATGGAGGTGGACTCGGAGGAGTGCCACAGTGATATATCTACTGATCGTGAAGAAAAGGGATGCAAATGCGAGGCGACAGATAGTAGGGCCATGGGCATGGCAGCGCCATGGTACCGCAGAGACGGGACTTCCATGAAAGTCATTGATCCCTTGCTCTTATAGAGGGAGAGCGCTTGGTCATGAAAGCGGTCAAGGAGGTGGAGCATACAAAGGCAAACTCCAAGTACCGAGACAAGGCTGAAAGGCAGAGGCCAAGGAACTTCGTAAGACCGGTGTCAACGAGCTTTTCATTAAGATAGTCGAAAGTGAAGGACTTCAGGTCATGCAAGATTGCACGACCAAGGAACGAAGTAGGCAGTACGTGGTGCTGTACTTATGCTACTCAGTGGAGTAGGCGGCAAGGTTGATGGAGAAGACGATACAATCCTAGAGGCGACCAAAACTATTAGAGACTTACTCCAAGTTGGGGTAAAAACTTCATGCATTCTAGAAGTTCAATAGCATTGAGAAGGTGAATCATAGTAGCTAACTCAACGCGAGGAGTGCAAACACTTTAAGTGCTTCAGAAGTGTGAGCAAAGAGCAGACGAATGCCAGTAACCAGCTCGATGCATGAAGTACAACCCTCGAGGAGGTGGGCGAAGTCAAGTAACCTTTGCCTTGTCAACTCTTAAGAGAATGGGTGAAACCGAGTACCCCAATTCTCTTATCTATCCAACAGAGGAGCTCTGCACAGGTTCAAAGACCCTTCGAAAATAATGGAAGATAATAGTTGTCAAATCTTCACCAATGGTGATCAATGCTACTTAGAGCAGATTATTCGTTTCATTTCCCAACAGAATGCCAATCGAAAGCGGAAGTGATGCGAATGTACTTGGAAGTGACAACTAAGCGAAAGAAGAGTCAATAGGCAAATTTTGTGGAGGAAGGACCCAAAACTTCAAAAAGTTTGTGAGGCGATGCTCGTTAAAGCTCCAACAAGCATCCACCCAGTTCAAATAGCCTGAGGTATTTAAGAGACAGGCGCAAAGTAAGGATGGTCTTTTCCTTCATCTGAAGGATCCGCAGGAACCAACAGAGATCAACACAACTCAGCCAACCCCACACTAGAGTCAGAGTCATTGGCGAGTTGAAGCAGCATGACGGATCTAAAGTTCGACTACTCAACAACAGCAGCGGAGAGCAGTTAGGAGCCAAGAGGCGCATTGCAGCTAGAGCAGAAGATTGAAGACTCAACGAAAGCGAGGAGTTGCAGTGTCGGCAAAGGCTTCGACGAGGACGTCGAAGGAATGGGT